ACACGCACACCACATGATGTATCAAATGCCCTTTAATTTACTTCTAGTACTTTTTTATTTAAATCTTTATGCTTTTCATTTCATATTAGAACCATTATTATATCGTGGCATTGTTGAGTACAATAATATAACAATTTTTTGGGGCCCTCACCAAGGCAGGAGCATTAGGTGATCACCTACCCACCTATAGTCACGGAGTCTGCAATAACTGTTGCCAGAGCTGTGAATATAACACTGTCAGCCACCGTCTCGCTTCATTTTCCTCCACCTCTGCCTATCCCATTTTCCATATCCCATCAACTTAATTTTCTCTTAATATGAACATTTAAAAAATTAAAAATAAATAAATAAATAAAGAGAATGTAACGACGATGGTGGAGGCCCAATCGCTTATCAATGGGTTGGTTTAGGTGGGATAATGATTTGGTTGGATGATTGTGTGGATCGTTAGATGTCCTTCCATTGCACATTTATTAAATCTTTGGAACCTTTGTTGCATATTTTTGAAGGTTTGGGACTTTCAATGCAAATTATCATTTTTAATAAATAAAATGTTAAAAAATATCTTTTTTCTTTTTTAAAAATTGATCAAATTATAATCAAATGCTGATTTTTAGTCAACTAACGAATTTTTGGACTAAATAGTCCTTTAGCAGCACTAGCTTAAAAAGTTTTAGGACCAACGCTGCTATCAATCAAAAGTTTAAATAAAACATATACATTTTTTAAAAGTTTAAAACCGCTGCTGCAATTATTCCTAAAAAATTTATATATTTTGAAACTTAAATGATTTACTTATTAGTAAACTTTGTAAACTTAGCCGAACACGTGACCCATGTGATCATAGCGTAGCTGAATGATAGTTTTTGCCGTTTATTAACTTTTTGTCTGCCATTATTCTAAAAAAATAATAATAATCATTTAAACCACCATTAGATACCTTTGATTATGACAAATTAAGCAGTATAAATTTTTCAATCAATATATAATTTTATTTATCAAATGAAGGCTCAAGATTATTCTTTGATATGATTTTTTTAATTTCTAGCGAATATTCTTGTAACACATGAAATCTTCTTTATATACCAACCCAACTACACACAGACACAATGAATTCAATCTCAATCATTAAGTACTTTAACTTCATTGATTAATGATTAATGGCCGACATTTATTTGATGCTTTGGACTTTTAAGGAAACCAATTTGTATGGCGAGGGGTCCCTTAATATTTCAAAATATTTGACTAAGGATGAAAACATGGCAGGAGTTCACGATTCAGACGAGGAATCGGCCCAAGGAGGATGGTCCATGCTTTGTTTAAGTTTTTTATTTTTATTTTTTTGAAAAAAAAATAAGAAATTTCATGCAGTGCAACGTGTGTGTGCGCGTGTATATATATATATACTAGGTGCAAGCAACGTGCAATACACGTTTACTTAGTTTATATTCAATATTTTTGTTTAATAATTAATTTGTTATTAATAAAGATGTAATTTTTTTTGGGTTAATTAAGGGCGTGTCTGGGCGCGCTGCAAGGAGGAAGGAAAATTGATTATGTTACCGTTTTTTTTTAAACCTACAGCCCTACAGTAAGAGAATTGGTCCAAAATTGCGGCTCCCAACGGCATG